ACACACACACACACACACACACACACACACACACACACACACACACACACACACATTATATATATATATATATATATATATATTCCATTCTTCAAAACTAAGCTTGGGGGCGGGGGGGGTTGCAACACTTACATCTCTATATAATAATATAATAATTTTCAATTGCCCAACACCCACAATCACTCAGTGAGTGAGACTAGGACTGCCTAAAGTTGATAAAAAAATAATAACTTTCTTCCTCACCCTATTTTATCCTCATAGCAGTCTTATTATGCAAGCAAGACTGAGAGAAAACCCAATTGGCTTCCTTGTTCTTTGTCTGAAGTTATATAATTTAACATTGGATGTGCAGCAAATGTCAATAGGCTTATATTTGAATTATTTGTACTGACATTTCACAGATCCAATAAGTCTGGAATTCTATGCCCATCTAGATCACATGGCAGTTTGATTCTCACCAGCTAAAGGTTGACTCAGCCTTCCATCCTTCCAAGGTCAGTAAAATGAGGACCCAGATTGTTGGGGGCAATATGCTGACTCTATAAACCGCTTAGAGAGAGCTGTAAAGCACTATGAGCGGTATATAAGTCTAACCACTATTTCTGGTTGTATTGTTAACTTCAGGAAGTACAAGATCAGCTAGGTTGAATTATTTTCCCACATTGTTTTTATTTATTTATTCATGTGCAATTTTATAGGCTTCATTCTGTGTATATGTGCTGATTCACCTTCTTAAGAATACCATAATGGTGTTAAGATTTTATTAGCTTAACGGGAAGGGATTAACCCATTATATTCTGTGGTCCTTTGAAGGGGATTTACAGAATTGCCTGATTACATGCTCTTCAAATTAGCAATCCTGATAGCTAATTTTCTCTTCTGTTTCTGATTTCCACTGCTAAAATCATTTTCTCAGCTGGCTTCTCCTTTCCTATACCGATCATATATACCGATTCATTTTTCCATCCTTAGAATCAAGTCTCTGCATAAATAAGTTAGCCCCTCCCACATTTTCAGCTCTCTTTACTTAGTACTTTGTTTGTTATTTTGCATTCTTCCTCATTTTTGCCAAATAATAATATAAACATCCACTAAAACTCAGGTCTCTGAACAGCTTGGTTTAGTTGAAACAACTGGACACACTTTAGGCAACATGTATAAAAGAAACCTTTGATTTAATCCTTACAGCATTTGCAGTTTAGAATAGTTGGTCCTTGGCTCAATAGTAGTAACTGCAAGAGGAATCTTGGAGTCTTAACAGACAATAAATTAAATATGAGCCAGCAGTGTGCTGTAGCTGCCAAAAAAAGCCAATGTATTAACAGAGATATAGAATGAAGAAGACATGAAGTATTAATATCACTTTATAATGCTTTGTAAAATCACACTTGGAATATTGCATTCAGTTTTGGTTGTCACAATATAAAAGATTTTGAGACTCAAGGAAGAGTGCAGAGAACAGCAACAAACATGATTAAGGGACTGAAGGCTAAAACATATGGAGAACAGTGGCAGAAATCAGGTATGTCTGGTTTAATAAAAACAAGCACTAGGGTGTGATGTGGTAGCAATATTCCAATAGCTAAGGAGCTGCCACAAAGATGAGGAAGATGATTTTCCAACCTAGAACCAACCTAGAACTAAGTAGAAACTTCCTTAATAATTAGAACAATTAATCTGTGGAACGAGTTGCCTCCAGACGTTGTGGGTGCTCTGACACTGGAGGTTTTTAAGAAGAGATTGGACAATCATTTGTCCAATGTTATAAGGTTTCCTGCTTGAGGAAGAGGTTGCACTAAAAGACTTCCAAGATTCCTTTTAAGTCTGTTATTCATATTAATGTATTTTTAATGTTGCCAAGATAATTTAATTTAATTTAATTTATTAGATTTATAGGCCGCCCAATCCCGGAGGACTCCGGGAGGCTTACACAGAACAAGAAAGGAAAACAAACAAAATAAAATAAACATGAAGATTAAAATTCTCCAACACACATACATTCAAGTTGGGGCTGGACCCTACATAATAAGGTCAACAGCCCCAGGCCTGCCGGAACAGCCAGGTTTCAACAGCTTTTCTGAAGGCCATGAGGGTGGGTGAGGTCTGGACCTTTGGGGGTAGCTGATTCCACAGGGTCAGAGCGGCCACAGAGAAGGCCCTCCTCCGAGGCCCCACCAGCCAACACTGTCCGGCTGACGGCGTCCTAAGGAGACCCACCCTGTGGGATCTTATCGGCCGTTGGGAGGTATGCATGAGTAGGCGGTCTCGCAAATACGCTGGTCCTGAGCCATGTAGGGCTTTAAAGGTAATGACCAACACCTTGAATTGAGTTGGA